TATATATATATATATATATAAAGAGAGAGAGAGAGAAAGAGAAAGAGAAGAAAAAAAAGATGAACAAAGCACTACAAAAAAAGTGAAGCCCAGAAAGTGACACTATTAATGGTTTCCTCAGACCAAGTATTTTATTCTTTCTACACTGCACATCTTATCTGGCTCTCTTCAATTGCAGCATCATCACAATAGGGGATGTTACTGATAATCAAGCCCCTGACTGAGCTGCCATGCAATTTAGACCTCTTCCATTCACTTCTCCTTACTGTCACCAAGACCTGCTCGTCATATTAGGCTGTAAAGATTGACATGTAGTGCACTAATTTTAGTCTTGTGTTCAATTTTCACTCTCTTCCATTTTCTCATTCTGTTAACGGTGAAAATTGTACTAGAAGCACAAAGCTGACATGAGACATGTGAATTAAAGCAGCAGACATGCTGGTAATTTTGCCACCAGTCACTGACAAACCCATGGAGGGAAAATGTGATCTAATGCTGTGATTGTTAGTAAAAAGGGACACCTTTTCTGGTTGTGGCTAAAAAGTTCCTTTCACTTATCTTCTCATCACAGACATGTAATTCATTCTTGGCATCTAACAGGGAAATATATGGCAATAATTTTGTGGAAGTGGAAGCAGAGAAATTATATGTTTGGTCCTATTATCCCAGAGGGTGTTTTACTGGAAATACTTTAAAGTCCTAAAATGCTTAGAGAATATGGTGATTAATGTATTACCAAATGTCAAATCCACTGGCATCTACATGCCTTAAATAATAAGACTTCTACTAGATTTGATCTATTTGTTTCACTTCTTGTAGTTTAGAAGGTCTGCCATGCTATGTCTACCATTTATTTTAATCATAATTCTTATGAGTTATTCTTATAATTTAAATTCCATATTATTTCTGGAATGTTAATTACATCTGCAAACAGATAACAAACAGCTACTTTCAGCAAAGCATGATGGGAGTTTTATTTTGAGCAGTTACAGGAAAGCTCACTGCACATCTGCTGTCCCAGTGGAAATACATTTCATGGAGAAAATTAAACTGCCTAACATTCTTTAAAAACGTTGCAGTTTCAGAACCCAACCCCTGACTTCTTTGGACAAGAGTATAAGAGATCTGTATCACAATCTGCAAGTCAGAGTTAAACCTTTATAAAATAATGATGCACACAAGCCACTGTTTTTCTCCGGCATTTGTTGGAAAAAATAAGGCAGCTCAGTGAATTGGGGCCATTCTGTCAAAGTTCCACTGCTTGATTTTGTAATATTACTTTAGTTTAAAAAAAAATCACAATCATGAAGTCAGTTTATTACAGTGGTAAAAGTTATTCAGTTGTACTATCCAGGATTATGTGCAGGTTTTATCCCAAAACAGGTAATGCAAGTTATCTGAATTATAGGGCAGGGCTACCGCAATGCTTCAGTAAACATAATAGCGCTTTGAGTGCTTAGTGAGAGTAGAAAAGCGCTATATAAGAACCAGTCAATTTACCATTTACCATGGTGTTTCATAGTTCCCTATCTGCCTCAAGATAAGTCAATCGCTTTCTTATCAATTTGTTTTGATTACTGATGCTAGTCTTTCCAAGTCAAATAAAGGCTTCAAAGTACCTGAAGACCTGAATATAAGAGACGGATGTTAAAATTCACACTGGCTAGTGCTTCACAGTCAACAAACGAGAGTTAAATCTTCTTCTTCGGTTTTTTTTTTTTTTAAAGTTGAACAATGACAGATTGTTGAAACAAGTGAACATAATTCATTGAAGTACACATTCTCAGAAATAAACTATATTGCTGGTAAACTCCAAAGAAGGTAGAGCATGGCAGAGCGTAGAACCTGCCACGGTAGGGCAAAACAGTCTTGGAGTCTAGATGCTGCTGATGGTGGAGATGAAGAACTAATATAGTGACTTAGATTGGGTGGAGATAGAGTTGGAGCCGGGTTGCAACAAAGAGTCTGAAAGGCAGAGTGACAGAAGAACACAGAGATTTGAAGCTTAGCTTGCAAATGGTGAGCAAGAAAATGAATGGTCAGAGTAATGAAGATAGAATTGACATCGAGAAGGTGGGAAAGCAGAAGAAACAAGAAGAATAGGCAATCAGCTCAAATGACCAAGAATTCAATCAGGCAATAGAATACAGATTTCATGTCAGAGTTTTGCTTTGCAGCTGTACCATCCATTGGGTCGTATTCCTTTCTTTTGAACACCTAGAATTGGGCTTTGTCCAAAAGCAAGCAGTTCTCGTTATTGTAATTCTAGCACAGCACTTCCAGAGTTCAAACTATAACATTAGTATTTCACATCTCTCCGTTTGCCTCAAGGTAGAACGACCTTTTCCCCAGCAATTTACCCTAATTCCTCCTGTCAGATTCCAAAGTCTTCCCAAGCCAGGCAGAGGCTCAGATCCCTTAAGAACTGTCATCCAAAATGGTTGAATTCAAGGTTACATATATCTGCTATCTGGGCAACTTGGATTAGACAAAGACTTGAGGTTAGAGCAGTCAAGTAGTAACCTGTGAGGTGCTGGTTTGTGTCCCTGTTTGCTTATGCTCTCTCTGATTGATATAAATAAGATAAATTCCAAAGATGTAGAATGTAAATCAAAGCAGAATGCAATTATTTGCAAATCTCATAAATCCATATTTTATTTAAAAAAAAAACATATCAGATATTTAAACAGATATTTTACTGTTTCATGAAAAATAATAACTCAATTTAATCTCAGCAGTACATCTCAATAAACTTTGGATGGGGGCAATAAAAAGCTGTAACCCCATGTTGCAACTAATTGGGTTAATAGAAAACATGTTAGTAACATGAGCATTTATAAAAAGAATATCTTACAGAGTTTCTTGGGAGTAAAGATGGGCAGAGATTCACCAATCTGCAAAAAATATTGCATCTACAAATTGTGGAACAATTTCAGTAAATTGTTCCTCAACATAAAATTGATGCCTTTGAACATCAAGCACTGATTATACTTACACTATAATATCATCATTGAAAGAGTCCCACAATCTGGAGAAATATCTGCTTGCAAGGGACAATGTTGAAAATCAATATTAGGTGCTGTGATCTGAGTAATGTCCTCAGTAATGTCCAGCAAACCCCCATGACCTCAGCCTGCCCAACAGATGACGCTGACTTTGGCCCCTGTTGCGAAAGTTTGAGTGTTACGTGACCAGTCCAGTTTAGTGGTATAAGGTGAACACCCAGTAGTTTGTTCCTGACCCTGATGTTCAACAGTGTGATGGGAGTTTTCTCTGGAAGTCAACCACCATCTGCTTCATATAACTGGTGTTTGAGTTCACACTAGATGACAAAGTCAGTGATGACCTTCCTGTTCTCCAGATCATTCTCCTCAGATACACAACCACTGATGACTTTATCATAAGAGAACTTCTGGAGGTGACATTTAGTGATGTTGTATCTGAAGTCCGATATAAAGAGTTAAAAGGAAGGGAGAGAGCACTGAACCCTGAGGGGCGCCCATGCTGCATACCACCATGTCAGACACACAGTCCTGAAGCTTTGCCTCCTGTAGTTAGTTAGTGAGGTAGTTGATTCTCCATGGAGTATCGTCACAGTCAACTCCTGCTCCTTCCATCATCTCCCTCAGCAGTGCCAGTTGAATTGGATGAAAGCAGTGGAGAAGTAAAAAACAATGTGACCTTGGCAGTGCTTTCAGTACTCTCCAAATGTGATCTGTGCAGGAGATAAATGAGTGCATTATCCAGCCCAATACCAGGACAGTAAGCAAACTCCAAGGAGTCAGCATGCTTTCTTGGAGGGTAAACTCAATGAAACTGATATAATCTGCTACTCAGTTGGTCAGATTGTCAGTGTAATCCACATGTGGACA